GAGTTCATAGAAATTTTTTTAATATTCGAAAAAATTGAGTTTTATGATAATTATTATCCTGAGAAAGATTATTTAAATTTTTCTGAACTCGATATATCCCACACGGCACAAATGTTGCAGCAATATATTTGTGCCGTATGGGAATTGCACATTTTTCCAATTAATTCTTGATGTGCTAGACTCTAAAGATTTTTCCTACGTGAGAGATAGCAATTTATTTCTCTCTCTCTCTCTTTCTCTATCGTGACTATTCACTTCCACTTGTTGATATATATTCACGCAATTTTACCGCGGCCGATAAAGACACGCGAGTATCGCTAAAAAACGAGATACTCTCTACCAATTACTCCGGCGAACGTCCTCGTTCCGTCATGAACGGCGACAAGGGTTCGTCGCTCGACCGCCGCTCGCAGCATCCGACGACACGGCGCGTCCGATGCTATCCATTCAAACCGCCGCGCCGCGGAGTGAAACGAAGGTAATCGAGCGCGTCCGCGGAACATACCGTGCGGCCTGCACGCACGTGGTAAACGTACCGGGAATCTCTTCTCCGGGACACCGTCCTGCGCCACCGGAGGAGGACGACCGGGCCTCCGCCGCCGCCCGTCATGACGCTCTTCTTCCGCAGGCGGTGAGCCCGAAGCGGGCGAGAACAGAGCCGCAATTTGCGTAATTGCGATGCATCCTTCCCCTGCATCCACGACAGGACGCCTCCCGCGGCCCTGAGCACCACCCCTCCTCCTTTCCCTCGTTCTTCATCCTCCTCTCGTCTCCGTCTTCGTCTCTCGTTCGGTCCCCGGTCTCTGTACTTTACGAGCGCTATAGATGGAAATTTCGCAGCCATTTCGAAGCCATGCTTTATCCCTCGAGCCACTGCGGCACGACGGCAATGCCAATTAGTTGCATTCACGCCTCGCCCTCTTTTCATGCGCCGGGCGCAGGTGCCAGGGGTGTGATTTCCGATGACGGTAATCGCGATTCCGGCCGCACCGTCGCGATGCGATCGGAGACGCATAGGTGAAAAGGGGAAGGAGACGAGCGGTATGCGCGCATCGTCCACGTCTATTTACCGCTGCATAAAGGTCTCTGAAATATACATAATAATATCATAATTCACAGAACAAGATATTTCCTTGCGCTTGATGATCCAACTATAGGGATGGTACGCGCGCGCGCGATCTGTTTTCAACGGAAACGCACGTCCGATGGCAATGTATGTCCGCATGACGTGGTATTAATTTTATTTATGGAAGATGTGCCCCGCGCGCGCAACAAAGTAGTAATTCCGATTCCAAAATGGACGTATGAATTATGAACGAAGCGGAATGAAGAGCAAGTTATTCGCGACAAGGAACATGGATTTCTTCTATTTATCTATTCTATTTATCACGCTTTGGAATAGAATGATAGACTTTGATGATGATGGTCAAAAAATAAATTATCTCTGTTTAACTTGTCGAATGCTGAGTTTAATCACCTCATCTAGATATGTCGTGTCTCTGACTGTTTGACTATTTGTGTTGACTCTTTGTGTTTGACTCTTTGATGTTGAATCAATTACTTATCATTTCTTTCTTTAAAAGTTTTCTTCTGATCTCAAAATATTTCTTGCAGAAGGACGTTATGAACATGAGATATTATTGAACTTTTACTTTTATTGATTAGTTAAATTATAATGTTACATAATCACTTCATTATAGCCAATAGAAAATTTTACTAAAAAATAATTAGTATTTGACTGAAATGATATTTTTTACGATAAGATGTTCTGTAGGAAATTGTTGTAATTGATATTGTTAAATTAATTATCAATTTATTAAAAGGGATATATAATTTTAATTTTGGCTAACAACATTACAAGCTTGTTAATCAATTTCTATGAATCTCATAGTTTTCTTATTTAAATTATTCATATAAGTTATAAGTTTTATATATACATATAAATTATATAAATTTTATACAAATTTGTTCATATAAATTTGTAACATGATACAATGTATAACAATCTTAGCATCCATGGGTACATTATGGCTTTATATTTTTAAAGCGTAAATTCTTTTTTTCGAAAAACCGGTAAATGCACTATCAAAGCCGCGGTCCGATTCACGTTCAAAGTATTATTGGCGTCATTTTAGTCTTGTTTTACATGTAATGAACAATAAATAGAATGACGTCAATAGCACTTTGAACATGAATCGGATCGCGGCCCAAACTAGTCAAATACGCGTAAATATTCGAATCGAGAATTCGAGGGATGCGAGTTGTAAATTGGATGCACATATTTTGTGAGGAGTGTGAGTGATTTAATACCGGTGGAATATACCGATAGTTAAGCACGAAATTGCGAGAAAGAAAGAGAGAGGTCGCATTCCCACTTCTCCGTCAACATCGTGCAAAAAAACACGGCGGAAAAAATGCTCGTTACATTCCGGCCGTGACGTGACACGCGAAGCCGTATTTAAGCTGGTGCTCGATGCGACGCATCTGTCTGACGTGTCTGTCTGTGTGTTTCATGTGCTGCTTACGATGATCTACGAGAAGCACTTGAGTTGGAATGATATTAATTGCAATAAAGAAGAGCGTTTAAAAAAAAAATCAAAATTTCTATAATTAAAAACAACTCCTTTCTTATTACTATTTGTTTACGAAAAAAAATTGCTTATGATTTTCATGCGTATTAAAGCAACATCAATTTTCTTTATAAAAATTGTTTTACCTTATATATTATTGTATTTATAAATAGTATATTATATTTATAATAATATATAAAGCTAATTATACGTTTGATTATACTCGAAATGTAATTATTACGTTCATTAATTAATTCTCTCTATAACATCGTTAATTAATAAATTTTAACGAGAGAGATATTTAAAGTGATAAAAAAAGCAGAAATAATTTTTACTTCAGAGACATTCAATTTTTCCTGATGTTTATCCTGATGCCGCGATGTTTCTTCATTATGTGTCTCGCGTGAACATGCAGTTTCATATTTCCTCGTACCGAGATTCTCAATTTCCTCGATATATTAACAAATACATACATATCCTTTTGTCGTTGTTTATATTGTTTTATATTTATATTTTTTTATATTTATATTATATTATATTTTATATTTATATTTATATTTTGACAAGTGTGTTTTGCAAGTGTGTTTCGTTAGTTCCCTAAATGTTTCGATGTACGCATTGTACCAATGCGTTTGAAAAAAGCGTTTGCGTTATCGTTCGCGTGCGTACGCGCGCGCTCATCGCGAGCCTCACACGCGACTGCGGGAGTGGCTCGCGGACGCGCCCTGCGCATCCTGCCCGTCCGGACGCATGCATCTCCCTGCATCTCGATGTGTACTCGGTGTACTCGGTGGACGCGGGAGATCGGCAAATCTAAGATCGTGCAACTGGTGTCCAGTGGCGTGTCCGCGGCGAGTACACGTTCGGCGAGTCGTGCGAGCGAGAGCGAGCGAGACGAGGCGCGCGCCAGTCGGACGTGAGGAACGAAGAGTGAAGGATGAAGGAGCCCCGGGGAGGAAAGGCGACGGGGGTGAGGCCCCGAAGAAGAAGGGGAGAAGTAGAATGTGCGCGCGGTTCTCGAAGGAGGAGCTGTCGGCGGTGAAAAATCATACACCCCGCCGCCACTGCCATGGCCGGAGCGCAGCATCTGCTCTACATACTCTGGCTCTCAACCTATCTCTCCCTATCATATTCTCCTATGCACACCGTCGTCGATCGACGACCTGTAAAAATCGCTCAATCGATGACCTCGAAGCGCACCTTCGCATCCATGATGCGTGCGATAATCGATTCCCCCCAGTGCTCGCTGCCCAGTGCTCCGCATGCTCCTCGAAATAATTGTGTCGCTCGAGATAATTATGGATTTTACAGAAATTATGAACGCGCCATGCTCTTTGCGCTTTACGTAGGTACTTTGATAAATTTACTCCGCTATCTGAGTCTGCGAACCGGCCAAATATACCGAAGAGAGAAAGTTTTTCAACGAATTTTTCAATAAAACGCGATTCTAATTATGCTACTAATAATCGCGCAGTAAACGATGTGATAAATTTAATTTTGTGACACAATCATCAGCGCAGATAAAATATATATATATATATAAAATATATATTATCGCGTATATTTTGTAATCATTCTACATAAAATAAAATCTGAGAAAATGAGATGTT